TACAATATTTATTGTTTCTATAAAATCAATTCATTAATTTTATTCTTCATAATTATCTCATTATTCAAATGAGGAAATGAAGGTCCAGAATCAAGGTTAATTACCTTCTGAGACTACCCAGCAAATAATTGTGAATAAAAGTAGGACCTTGTTTTTCTGAGTCCAGTCCTCTTTCTATTCTTTGTACCAAGAATCATGTGAAAAACTGGAGAAGAGATACTGGATAAGACCATAGATTTCATAGCATTGGACCATGTTATTTTATAAATCCTCCCTTCAAGCATCACTAAACGTGTAGTTCTTGCATATTATTCTATACTCTAAAATGATGATTAGAATGGTAAGCTAAATTTGCTCTCTGATATGGCCAAAGAAAGGCAAACTGCAAAGTATTTCCACATAGTAAAGGCTAAAGGAATGAACAATCCAGGAAAGACCTTAAAATATATGTCAGCAATAAGTGGTAGTACTAGTGTTTGTGATAAAACACTCCCCTTGCCTAGAGTACAGCTCTACCAGAAAATATTTTTAAAGAGTAGTATGTGGACTTTTTAGGGTCTGTAATATCCTGGAACTCTAATTTCATTCTAAATGCAGAAAATTGACTGGTAGATTTGTATAATTAACTATGACAATAGATATAATTTCACGTTGTCTGTTATCTCCAAAAATAACTTTTGATTCATTACAAAGTTATATATAATGTTTGTACTGGAAAATTTTTTCTTTACTCTTGGATATGGGTTTACATGAAACAGTGCTTGGTTCTGTCCTAACAGTAGTCTAGGCAAGTGGAAATCTCCTAGTACCAGCCTGGTAACAAGTGGGTTTGCTCCTAATTAGGAGCCCCCACACACATGCAAAAAAACTCTGAATGTGCATGTGAATCACCTGCGGATCTTGTTAAAATGTAGATTGTGAAGAAGTCAGTCTAAGGTGGGGCCTGAGACAGTATTTTTACCAAGTTTGTATGATGCTTGCTGCCGGTCTTCAGACCACCCTTGGAGTAGTAAGACTATAGCAAGATCCTAAAAGTAAAGAATTTGAAAGGTCATTTTCAATAAGCTTCTCACAGCACCGTGAATAGAAAATACTTGGAAAGTTCATTGATACTGGGAATTGCAAAGTGTTTGCCAATGCAGCTGCCTTGAATGTATTCTCAGTATAGTGCATTCCACACAGTTGAGGCTAAAGAAATGAATAACCTAGGGATGATCCTAAAACATGGTAGTGATAAATGTTAGAATTAATGCTAGTGATAAAGCACATCTTTGTCTAGAGGATAGCTCCATCCAAACATACTTAAAAAAAATGTAGAGTTTATTTCATTGTATGTCAAACCCAAACCAATGCAAAAATATTCTGCTATGTTTAATTTCAGGGGAGAAGTCTTTGCACACACTAAGATATGTTTTATTTTTTTTAGATAATAAAAACTGTATACTTTAATATAGCTTTTCTTCTTATAGTCACTCAGAAACTTGAGACATTTTTATTTATTTTTAAAATTTTTTTATTAACATATAATGTATTGTTTCAGGGGTACAGGTCTGTGATTCATCAGTCTTACACAATTCACAGCGCTCACCATATTACTTAGACCTCCCCAATGTCTATCACCCAGCCACCCCATCCCTCCCACCTCCCTCCACTCCAACAACCCTTAGTTTGTTTCCTGAGATTAAGAGTCTCTTATGGTTTGTTGAAACTTGAGATATTTTTAAATGTTATCATAGGTATTAATTCTGAAAGAAGTGACAAATATAATTTAATCTTATTGCTTCCTTTAATTTCTATTCTTTTATATCCCTAACACTCTTATTTTGCATTATATTTAACCTTATAAGTGTCTCCAAATAGTTCTGGAGGTAATCAGGAAAAGAAGAGAGGAAAGAGAAAATAACAAAACAAAGAGGGAGAGGGGTATAGGAGAAAGAAAAGAGAAAGGAGAAAAGAAGGGAGGGGGAAAGGGATGGAGCAAGAAAAGGAGGGAGAGAGGAAGGAATCAAGGAAGGGAAGAAGGAAAGGAGGAAGAAAGAGGAGGAATGAGGAATGGAAGGAGTTAGTTTTTGACCTTAGAAGATGAGGGACAAGTCTTGTCTTTTCTTTTTCTCTTCTTTTCTTTTTTTTTCCTTTTCCTTTCCTTTCCTTTCCTTTTCTTTTCCTCTCTCCTCTCTTTTCTTTCTCTCTCTCTCTCTTTCTTTCTTTGTTTTTTTTTTTGCTTATGGATATCTAATTGCTCTAGTGCCATTTCATGAAAATGTTATCTTTTCTCCATTGAGTGCTTTTGCAATGTGTGTCCAAAATCAGTTGTGCATATTAGTGTGGGTCTCTTTCTTGGTCCTCTATTGTATTGCACTGATCTGTCCCTCTGCCAATATCACATGGTTTTGAACTGTAGTCTTCAAAGTAGCATTCCTCGTACTTTATTCTTTCTTTTCGAAGTTGTTTTAGCAATTTAAATTCCTTTGCATTTTCTAACACATTTTAGAATAATCTTGTATATAGCTATAAAAATGTCTTTCTGGAATTTTGCTTCATATTGCACGAAACCTGTATATCATTTTTGGGAGGACTGATATCTTTACTATGCTGAGTCTTCCAATCAATAAATAAAGTATGTTTCTCCATTCATTTAGATTTTCTTTGTTTTCTTTCATCAGAGTCTTCTAGTTTTCAGTATATATGACATGTATGTTTTGTTAGATTTACACCTTAGTATTTCATTTTTTGGGCAATTGCAAATAGTATTGGAATTTTAATTTGGATGTCCACTTGTTAATTAAAAGCACATAGAAATACCATTGATTTTTGCAAGTTTACCTTACATCTTTTTTTTTAAAGACTTTATTTATTTATTTGACAGAGAGATACACAGTGAGAGAGGGAACACAAGAGGGGGAGTGGGAGAGGGAGAGGCAGGCTTCCCGTGGAGCGGGGAGCCAGATGCGGGGCTCGATCCCAGGACCCTGGGATCATGACCTGAGCCGAAGGCAGACACTTAACAACTGAGCCACCCAGGTGCCCCAAGTTTACCTTATATCTTGTGAATATGCTAAACTTACACACTGTAGGTATATTTTTATGCATTCCTTCATATTTTCTACTAAGACCACCAGGTCATATGCAAATATGGTCAGCTTTATTTATTCTTTTCTGATGTATATGGTTTTTAATTTTATTTTTCTTATCTTTATCATTTTCTTCTTTCTGCCTGCATTGGGTTCATTTTGCTATTTTCTGGGTTCTTGAGGTGGGGACTGAAATTACTGATTTGAGACTTTTCTTCTTTTTTAACATATATAGTTAGTGCTCTGCTGTCTCACAAATTTTGATGTATGGTGTTTTCAACATATTTTATTATTTCTCAATGTTCTTAGATTTTTCTCTAGCAAAAAGATTATTTAGAAATGTGTTATTTGGTTTCCAAGTGTTTGGAATTTTTTCTCTTATCCATCTATTATTGTTTTCTGGTTTGATTTCATTGTAGTTGGTGAACAATTTGCACAATATTAATTCTTTTAAATTTGTTGAGGATGGCCATGGATATGGTGTATGTTGGAAAATCTGTGGCACTAGAAAAGAATGTGTTTTCTGCTTTTGCTAGAGAGAGAGTTCTGTAAAAGTTATATTGGTGGGCTGAAACTTTCTAATTTTTGTTTGTTTCAAGTGTGTTTGTTATAGTTCACTGAAGCATTCTTATGATGGCTTTTTTAGAATGTTTGTCAGATAATTTTACTATCTCTGTTGTCTCAGTTGTCTTTTTCTTTAGGTTAAGATCTTCCTGGCTCTTAGTATGACAAGTGATTTTTTTTGAAAGCTGGAAAGTTTGGGTATTATGTTCTGAGACTCTAGACCTTTTGTTCTAGCTAGCTTCTGACATTGTCCAGCAGGAGAAAGGATGGTGCTGTCTTCTTACTGCATGTGAGAGTAGAAGTCTAGCTTCTCCACTCCAGTTCTGTTGACACTTGATACAGATATTCTCCTTACTGTTTAGCAAGGGTGGGAGCTCTGGGTTCCAATAAGGCCTCCACTGATACCTCCTAGGCTGTAAGAGAGAGGGGTGCATTTGGCTTTCTGGGATACCAGCCTCTTCAGCTCTGAGTCTGTGATACATTAGTTGAAAAGAAAACCAAAGGAATTCACCACTGTGTCCTTCTTTGGGTCTGGACAACCTTCTTCTTTCAACCTTTCTGAGTCATATATTTGTTTTACATATAATATCCAGAGTGTCTACTTGTATTTAGTGAGACAAATTTGGTAAAACATGTCTATTCTAACTTCCTGGAAACAGAAACTTTTTTTTTTTTTTTAAAGATTTTATTTATTTATTTGACAGAGAGAGAGAGACAGCGAAGAGGGAACACAGGCAGGGGGAGTGGGAGAGGGAGAAGCAGGCTTCCCGCGGAGCAGGGACCCTGATGCGGGGCTCGATCCAGGACCTGGGATCATGACCTGAGCCGAAGGCAGACCCTTAACGACTGAGCCACCCAGGCGCCCCATGGAAACAGAAACTTTTCTCTCAATGTAGTTTTAATTTGCCTTTCCCTTGTAATATTTAAGGGCCTTTATTATATCTTTTTTGTGAACTTTTTGCCTACTTTGATAACTAGGATTTTGTCTTGTTATCTTCTTGGTTTATGTCTCTTGCCCACTTTTATAACTGGGCTTTTGTATTTTCCTCAGCTTGTAAGGATTCATTACATATAAAGGATCTTGACCCTTTATGTCTGATATATATTAAAATATTTTCTTCCAGTTTTTTATATGTTTATTGAATTTGGTAGTTATGTGAGGCAAGCTTATTTTTAAAAATTCTTATGTAGTCAAATGTATTAATCTTTCATTTCATCTGGATTATGAATTGTATATGTTTTCTATTGCTGCTGTAACAAATTACCGTAATACAAATTTACTACCTTACGGTTCTGTATGTCAGGGATCAGACATAGATACTCTTATCTATGAGTAAAATCAAGGGGTCAACAGGACAGCATTACTTTCTGGAGGCTCTCTTCCATTCCCAGCTTCTACAGGTTGCTCATATTCCTTGGTAATGGTCTCTTCCTCCATCTGCATAGCCAGAATGTCAGGTAAAATTCTTGTCACACTTTCTTCTTCCATTATTATCTCTGTCTGATCTAACTGGGAAAGGTTCTCTGCTTTTAAGAATTTATGTGATTATGTTGAGCTTACCCAGATAATCCAGGAAAATCTCTCCACCTCAAAGTCCTCTCCCTAATCACATCTGCAAATTCCCTTTTGCCATGTGAGGTAACATATTCAAAAATTTCAGGAATTAAGGGTAGATATTCTTGGAGGCCATTCTTTGCCTAACATGTGACTCATAGCTAAAAAGCCCTTTTCTACATCCAGGTTATAGAGGAATTCACCCTTTTTTCCCTCTAATTCTTGTATTAATTTCCTATTGTGACTATAAAAAATTTAGTGACTTAAAACAATACACATTTATTCTCCTACAGTTTTTGAGGTTCAACATTCAGAATGAGTGTTATTGGGCTAACCAAGATAATTATTAAGTTTATTCCTGATGATTTTACTTTTTTGCATTTGCATTTGCCACTTGCATGGTTATCTCCTGGAATGAAAAAGGCTTACATTACAGGAAATAAGTTCCAATGACATGAATGTTTCAGAGAAGACAATAATAAACCAAGATGCTTGATTTAAAACTGAACTTTGTTTTTTAAAAATTTTAGAAAGAATTTTTGTATCAATTTGAAAATTATCCCAAACATGTTTTAAGCAAAATTAAATTAGCAAATTTAAACAATTGTGAAATAAACACAAAAAAGTATTACATGTCTAGAAATTTCAACTTAATGTAAAACACCTTTTTGCTATGTACATATAAGACAAATGTACATTAAATTACTTACATTAAAAATTCATTGCTACTTATTAGTTACATTGCCTATTTAATCTCTAAATAAATTATCTAAATGTGTGTAATTTCATTAAAAATAATCCTCCAAAATAATAGGCATTACATTATCCCATTTTCTAAAAGCATATTATACTTAGTTACTGAAAACCTTCTGTAAGAAATTTTGGTTAGGACTGTAATATTTATATACACTCTCAGATGTCTAAATTAAGTCAGGTATTATGAATTCAAACAACAGATATATTCAAGGGGCAAATTAGTTAATTAATTAAATTCTTCCTCTGGGCCTGTATCAATCAATCAATAATGTTTCAGTGTTGTCAAGGTAGAAGTATAGAAAATAATTTACTTAAAAGTTTGTCAACTTGATTTATAACTTTAAATATTTAAACTTATGGTATGTGGGCCTCCATTTATACCCCTGTCCTGGCCTTGTAAATGACAAATGATAAGATATAATGAAAGCAACCTTAGACCAAATTCTTCCATACATACATTTATTTGCAAGCAAGCAAAAACAGTCGTATAATCTGCTCTATAAACTCAGTGAGTTCTGAGATTTAGACATTCCAGAAAGTGCCTTGAATGAAAAGTTCTCTGAGGAATTTTCAGCACTTTTTCAGGGACAGGATTTTGCTAATCTTCTAATCAGAGTTAGGGCAGAATCATCTGTATGTGGCTTTGCGTAAGACCAAGCAAAATTCTTAGCCTAGGGTATCACCCACTAGATTCTTCTTTCTGTTCATACAAGGGCTGAGCTGCCTGTCTGTTATTTCTAGCCCAGCCAAATGGATTTCTACCATCCCTTATGAAAAAAAAGAATCAACTCTCGAAGGCAGATTAAAATAGAATTATTTAAAGCTCCTTTCTGTTAACTCCTGCTGGTGTGTGGATTCATAATTAGAGTTTTTAAAGTGCCACTTATTCACCCCTGAATTATATACTTTTTACCAATGTATTTGTCATCATTATAAATTAAAACTTTTACCCAGCATTCTATATACTGAAACATCATAATGGAAATGAAATATAATGGAAGACACCGTTACGAAGGACTCACGCTGGTCTCCCTCAAAGTCCTACAGCAGAACTGAGGCCTGGGAGCCTAGAGCTTCCTGCCTGTCTTCTCCTTCTGCAGTCCCTTGCCCAGTCTGCCAGGTCTAGAACAGAGCCTAGGGAGTTTGAGTCGGAATCTTGGCCAAGGGCCATCTGTAAAACTATCAGAATTGGCTGCCTTTATGTCAACATCAGACTGCTAAAGTATGAGACCATTGAGATCCATCTGTGCTTGCTCTCAACAGAATTCTAAAGACATTCTCAGATTCAGGAATGGAATGTCTGCTGACTTGTACCCTTCTTCACTCTCCTCACTTCCAGGCCGAGAAAAAGTTTTCACAGTCCGAACATCAGACTTTCTTTCTTTTCTTTTTCTTTTTTCTTTCTTTTCCCCTTTCTCTTCTTCTTTTGAGTCAGATTCAGGAGAAACAGAGCTTTATGGGAACATGTCTCTTTCGGAGCCTCCAGGAGTTTGGCTGACGGCCATAATGTCCACGGAAAGCCAGAAAGAATAGCAGTGCATTTGGTTCTCTGCAAAACCTCTTTCCTTCAGATCCCTGCCCTTCCTCCAGGGGCTTTCCTGGCCAGGAGTTACACAAAGGACTGTGAAAAGAATATCAACCCACTGAGCTCAACCCTCACCCCTCTCCACCACTTTTAACTTAGAGCAAATCCCTCTGATCAGAGCAAGGCCTTCTAGGCCAGAGCCTGTGCGAGATGTCAAGAGGGTTGTACCTCATGAGACACGATGAACAAAGAAACAGTACATTTTATCCTTCTGGCCTGGTTGGCTTCCCCAGTGCAGCATTCTCAAGGAAAATATCTAAAACATTCAAAAGAAAAAGAGCACCCTGTATTTTCTTTAACAGTTTTCATCCACACCCTGCTTTCCTATACCCAGATGTCACAAGCTGTGGAGAGCGGTATAAACGGGCATCATTCAAGGACCCCCACCTCCCGGGCGTCCCTTCCCGATCCTGTGCCCGGTGACCCCACCTCCCGGGCGTCCCTTCCCGATCCTGTGCCCGGTGACCCCACCTCCCAGGCGTCCCTTCCCGATCCTGTGCCCAGTGACCCCACCTCCCAGGCGTCCCTTTCCGATCCTGTGCCTGGTGCTTTAACCAGCAGTTGCTCCAGAGAATGAATTCTTGGTTCCTCAGACTGGACCTCCTCGGAGGCCCTCTCTTCCATTACTCTGCCTTTGGCTGAGGGCACCTCACACTTGATGGAAACGTTGGCCAGCAATGACTTTGAACCACTCACAGTGTTCTCCCTTGCAGACTTGTTCACATCTCTGAGGCCAGGGATGGAATAACTGATCTGTAAACAGAAGGGGAATGACTGCAAGATCATGGGGTCCAATTACAAGGATTCCACTGTGGAAACGGGGAATGAGAGACATTTAAATCCTGAATTTCATAAAGTCAGACAACGGGTAATGTCCCAAATTTGGGGCTTTGGGGTGTCTTCACCATTGCTTGTGTACTCTGTGTCTTGTTCCTATTGTTCTACGATGCCAACCACAAAAGAAACATTGCATGCCTCTGCAGCATTCATCCTCCTTTCTCATGTTTCCCCAGGCTCCTGGCTTATCCTGCAATAGTAGGCTAGAGCTGGGGGATTTCCCAGATCAAGAACATTTTCAGGCTTCTTAGCACTGGAATTTCAAGTGTCCAGAGTGGATGCCCCTAAGATAAATAACCCCACCCTCCCTTACCTTTTTTGTTATGGTCCTTAAAAGACAGTACAGATTACACAGCTTAAATGAGGCAAAACAAAAATGGTCACCCATTTTACATTTATAACATGGTAATTTATTATATATATAGATACATGTGCACATGTATCTATGTATCAATGTATCTATCTATCTACCTATCAAATCAGAATTTGGATTACAATTAGTTTGCATCGACTGAGAAGTTTGTATGACTAAGATCCTTTGTGTCCTCGGGGAACTGGAGGGTGTTTTTTTGTAAATGACTCTGTCTCTGTAGCTGGGACTTTAAGTTCTACTACAAAGAACATGACAAGATTATATATATGTCCTGTTTGAAGTGGGTGTAGGCATTGGAGGGACAAAGAAGATGGGGAAAGGTATGTCAACAGGAATCTGAAAAGGAGGAAAGAGAAGCCTGTGTACTCAACACCAGTCATGGTATGTAAGAAGGTATAGAAACTGCAGCCAAAACAAAATGTCAAACGTGGGACCAGGTAAAGGATTCCTTCAAGGGACATTATTGTAATATTTGGTCTTCATTGAGCTTGAGTCTCCTTTTACTGACCGTCTAGCCTCCACTCCAGCAAGGAACACACAGCTACATGACTCTGGAGGGTATCAGAGGTGATAATCTCACCTTCACTAATGAATCCCTAACTCCCAATCAAGGGCTTAGCAGAAGTAACATCTGTCTGTGCCAAAAAACTTTGTTTAGACTCAGTACAGATAATCCCACAAAGCCCCATGACATCCTTATGCATCAACTGTATAACTAGTATGATGGTGCATTGAGGTTAGGTTTGGAGGGCCGAACTAAATAAGCTGAAGACCAATCAGATGGAGGTGATTTGTGATATTTCCGCCACACGGGTATAACTTAGAGATGTGTCTCACTCTCCATGAACCTTAGCTCCATAATCTGGCAATGAAACCAGATCTCTGTCCTGATCACATAAATCCCAAAGGATACTCACTTTTTTTTTAACCAAATCCTTAATAGGTCTTAAGAGCTATGTCGCTAAGGGACTTCATGAAAATTATGGACTCAGAGTCACCTCAATAATGAACCATTACAAATAATCCAATTTATTCTCCTAAAGGTCCAGCCTTCTCTTGCGTAGGAGTGTAGGAGGAGACCTGAGTGAGAGGTTGGCTTGGCACTATGGTCTAGAAGGCACTGAGAGCCAGACAGAGATTGCAGCTGAGGATATAGAAGGTTTGAGCAAGGGGATAAATTTTGTGGAGAGGAGAGCAAAGCTTCCAGACTCAGAGACAAATTCACATGCAGCCTCAAAGTAAAATTTAGAATATAGAAGAGTAACACTTCAAAATTATTTGTTTTATTGAGTGAGATCTGAGAGACCTTATATTTTATTTCAAAATAACAACAGTCCACAGGGAGAGTTTTGGAACAAAGAATATAATGATTAAAAAAAGAAA